GATATACTGCAACCGATCCCATTGCTTTTAAATTTATTTTTATATATATTTTATAAAATGTACAGTATCATTATAACATTTTCATGACATTTGTAATACAGTTAAATAAATTGTAAGAATTGTTTAAAATTGTGTTTTCCTTTCTATATATAAATACTAAATAAAACACAGTTCTTTCATAACTGTTTTCAGGAATACATTCAATTCAGATAATGGAGTTTGACTACATCAATAAAATAAACAGAAAACTTTACATAATATAAAAATTTACAATCTTTTGTTATTATGTCACCAGAATTGCTATTAAGATTTAAATAAGTGTTAGATATTCCTGATTTGGAATTAATCCTATATATTAATTTCATATTTAATTATTAATAAAAATAATCAAAATCTAAGTAAGCTCTAAATTTTATAGCAGTATGAACCAATAGTATTGAGATTTTCATTTCTTACTTTAAAACTAAAGAACCTCTCATTTAGAGTGTTTATTTCTAAAAAAACTTTAAGATTACCCATTCTAATTTTTTGTATTTTCTTCCTTTATTACATTTTAATTATTTTTATTTTTTAACCACCAAAATACATTTTGTATTTATAGAGTGAATAATGCATACTTTTCTTGATTATATTAATTGGGGGGGAAACTATTACTAAATAATGTTGGCTTATATAGGTTGAAAATCACTTCTCCAGCAATCAGTAATCTGATTCATCACTAATCTAGAACTAATTTTGGCTACTGTAATTTCAAATTTTCCATGTTGCCAGACCAACACAATGCTACTGTTTAGCATGCTAAATATTGCCAGATGTAAGATAATTTGACAAGAGTTTTCATTTAATGTTTGTTTTTTCTTTATTAATCAACTTGTACTGATTTACAGGATATATTAAAGATAGGATAGATATTAAACCAAACAATTGCCATAATTAATTGAGTTATTTTTTGCTATTATTAATAATTAGAAATTAATTAATTTGATATTAAGGATAAACATTACATGCCATTTCTTATCAAAATTAATAATTATAATAATTTAATATTTATTAAGTAATTTAGAACAGTCTGGAAGAAAGGAATATGCCTGGAATGGATTAAAACCTGTAACCTCTGCTTAGTGTGAGGTACACTTCCTTAGTTTCTTTTCTTCCAGGTTATTCTAAATTATTTAATAAATATTAAATTATTATTCTAATACTGAATTACTTAAAATAAAATTATTAATAGTAGCAAAAAATAGCCCAATTAATTAAAGTGATCATTTGGTTCTGATTAATAACATCAGGTTTTGAGAAGTTTTTGTGAATGACCGATATCTGGCGAATGTCAGCATTCACACAGTCGTTTCATGTATGTACGAAATATTTGCTAAATATCATTATTTCTCACTTACACCGGCAAATGTCGACACTCAGCATGCGCTGATGGTGAATGTTGAATATAAATATTTTTATTACGTTAAGACAAAAATGCAACTTTTTAATGTCAAAATAGGAGAAAACTTAAGTATCAGCACATGTAAATAAACTGTTGAACCTGAAACCGACAGTACATTCTTAATCAGAAAAGAAAATCAATATGCAATAGTAAACTCACATATATATTGTGTGATTAACATTATAAAATCTTATTTATTGCAACAACTTAAACTGTTATGGCACTTTGAATTGCACAAGAGTCCTTTGATTTACAACTGCATTTATTTGTGGAAAACTTCTTTTTGTAATGACAGCGTGTATAGCCTTGTCTTCCACTTTTCGAATTAGATGCAGCTAATTCTCTTGGCGATATTTCTTAAGAAGAAATCTCATCTATGGAAAGTAACTTTTCTCTACAAATTAGGAACTGATTGTGGGTATACAGCTGCTTTGAGGGTACCATTTTTGTTTGCTAATTTATAAAAGTCAAAGTCTTCTATTCCAATTACAACCGCCAACACATTTCACGCATCTGTACGGCCACGGTTGATATCAAGGACTTTTATTCTTACAGAATCACCAATTTGAGCAGAAGGAAATTGCGAAGAATTTGGCGACAGACTATCTCCTCTCTGTTGACATCGGCTTCTCAGGTGTCGTTTCGACCTCCACCAAAGCTTATATGTGCTTGTCAACGTACACCGGCGATTGTGCGAATGTATAATAATATAACCAAATATTCGATCTTTCACCGACTTAGTTTGCATGTGTCGACATTTACCAGAGAATATTGACATTCTCTAATTTCGGTATTTCACAGTAACATATACACACCATGCCACAGTAAAGTGATAGCTGGCTGAATGCCATAGTGGATGATTATAAAGACTGTGGGCGTAGGAGTCCCCCCGGTTGGTGTCATGAGTAACTGCAAATGGTTATTGCAAGATTTAAACATGTCTGGAAGTGAAAAATTATTCAGAGGTCTGAGTAACATAACTGAGCAGCACATCTCATGGTAAGTAGAGGTTGTAAATTCAAACCCCATTCCAGGAGAATTCTTTCCTTCCAGACTGTTCTAAATTATTTAATAAATATTCAATTATTATAATTATTAATTTCAATAAGAGATGGTGTCTAATGTCTACCTCTAACACCAAATTACATAATTTCTAATTATTAATAGTAGCAAAAAGTAGCCCAATTAATTACAGCAATCATTTTGCATAGTATTAATACATCAAGCTTTGGGATGTTTATATATATACAGGGTGTGGCACCAAAATCCAGACAAATTACACATTTTTTCCAAACATATTTTCTATTGCAAAAACAAAAAGGTTTACAAATTTTTTTTAACCACATTGTTTGTAAGGGTATAAAGAATACATTTACTCAATATATCCCCCTCTTGCTTGAATGACCGCCTCCATCCTTGGTCTGAAACATGTGCAGGTGCACTTTAATGTGTCATGATCCATATCAGCGAATGCCACATCAATAGTAGCTCTCAATGATGCGACATTTGGATGTCTGGACTTGTTTGTGACCCTTTCAACTATACTCCATACATAGAAATCCAAAAAATTCAAATCTGGGCTGTTGGGAGGCCAGAATTCTTTCGACCAAAACATGTCGACGTTGTCCGACAACCAATTTTGTACCAAATGACTTGTGTGGGCGGGCGCACCATCCTGCTTGAAAACATATGGCATTCCAGATGACACAGTTTCCATTCACGGCTTCACTACATTTGTCAGAAAATGCAAATAAACTTCTTTTGTGACATCTTCCCCTTTGTTAAAGAAATACAGTGGCATGATATCACCCTCACTGGACACAACACTTAGCACATAAACATTCACCGAAAATTTCATTCTTGCAATAATGGGGACATCTTCAGAGTCATGGGCAAGCCAGCGGTCATTCCTTCAATTGATTTTTGCATCAACAGTAAAAATTTTCTCATCAAAAATCTGAGTCATCCAGCAGCATTGTTTCTTAAGGAACACAAAAGCAGGTTACAGTGTTCAACTCGCTTTGTCCTGGCGGCTTCAGAAAGAATCTGTCTCACTTTAATTGCGCAAGACTTTCAGCGGAGGTCCTCCTTGACAATTCTATGCATAGTTTTCTCACTCACACCAACAACCGACAACAATTTTTAGATCGATTGACCTGTATCCTCAAAAATCAGCTCCTGAGCCCGATGAATGATTTCGGGTGTCCTGACAATGCACTCCTTTGAGTGAGTTTTCCTCGCCAGTGTTGTAAAACCTGCATTAGACTTCTCCAACTCATTGTACTTTGTGATGACATCATACATAGTTGATCTCAGATACGTGAAGAACTGAATGATTTCTGTCGCCAAGTGCCCAGCGTGAACACTTTCAATAATCACGGCTCATCGGTTATACTCCAAACTTAGTTTCAACATTGCAACTATTTCAAGGTCATGATGATTTAGTACATGTGTCAAGCTATTTGAACCCAAACACAACATCTACTGGTGGTACAGAATGGCAGAAATTTGAAATTGAATTTTGTCAAGCGAATTTTGGCACCACACTGTGTATATACAAGATAAATGGTTATTGTTCAAGGACTGCTGATGGTGTGAACAGTGAAAAAGGAGGACAAATGCGAAGTTTTTTCTTTGTAAAAGTCGTATTTATATATATTTTTTTATATCTATTAAATGTAAATAACGCCAGCCATGTACTTGTATTGGTTTTTTATTTAAAAAGGATAAATGGTTACAGTATTTTACAAACTATAAGATGCACCTTAATTTTTAAGCAATTTTTTTTAAAANTAAATAACGCCAGCCACGTACCTGTATTGGTTTTTTATTTAAAAAGGATAAATGGTTACAGTATTTTACAAACTATAAGATGCACCTTAATTTTTAAGCAATTTTTTTTAAAATAACATTTTTTACCATTTTTACCGCCTAAATTCAATCCTTTTATATGGACTGAAGCAAATGCTGATCCACCAATCAATGCTTAGTAGTGCTATCGGACGTCCACTGATAGTACAATGGTCGCTGGCCAATCCGCGGTTGTGGATTCAGAACCACCGGTCATCTTGTAATCTGAGTTTCTATGGCGACAACCGTTGCTTGTTTGAAAAGAGAAAAAGCATGGGAATCGTACGTCCAGACGATTCTATCCTGACACCCCGCAACTCATGTTCGTCGCATCGGTGCACTGCTGCTGCCAGTTGAATTCAATGTTGCCAGCTAGAGACTGGTTTCCCGCAGCATCAAATATGGTATATGGCCATTTTTAAGACGCGGGAATTTTAAATCAAACACTGGACATTTTTATATTAATTTCAAGTATAAGACACACCTGAATTTTGGAGGCAATTTTTCAAAGAAAAAAGTGCGTCTTATAGTCCGTAAAATACGGTAACTGTTGGATTAAGTGTATTCTGGCCTAACTACCAGTAATCTGGCAAAATCACTTATCAGCACCTTATAGGTCCCAATGATGCCAGATTAGTGGTGATATAAAATCAATCATTCTTAATGATTTAAATAAGTCTTAATTAACAGAATTAAAAAGTAATCATACTTGTACTGATTGTAAACGGTATGTGGCAGGAATAGAACTAGCTGTAGAACTAGGTGCTAGTCCGGGTGCTACGTTCACAACTTGCAACTGTCCATTTTCCGTTTTCACCAAAATAGTTCCACGTACCATTCCATGTTGTAATGTGATCGTATTCTGAAAATAAATTTAAAAATTCTAAATTTCTTACATACATTATATATATTATATATATAAATTTAATTTAAAACAATAATTTGTTAAAATATGTTCTATAAATGGCTTTAATTTGAAAAATAAAAGTCATATATAGAAGTCTATTTATTATTGTAAAATCTAATAAAACAATAATAAAATAGTATAGTACAATATGCTTCATAAATGTACAGTACAATGTACATCACATTAGCTAGCCAATGTGATGTATAATACGGTGGCAAAGACAAGCTATATATTAATATGTGAAGGACACAATTTATACAAATTTAACAGGATCTGAAACACTGTATTTCAGCAACAAAGATTGAAAAATAGCCTATAAATACATATATCACATTAACCTTATGAAGCTTTGCAAATATTTTTAACATACCACAAACATTTTTGGTCCACCTTAGGACCTTCTTCATGTCCTAAGGTAGACCAAAAACGTTCGTTGTACATTAAAAATATTTGCAAAGCTTCATAAGGTTAGTGTGATATATATATATATTCATCAATGCTTTGTTTATAAGATGAATTTTATAGCCTATAAATAAACTGAATAGTTCAAAATCATAAATTATAAATTTTTTTACATTGATTTTAAATTGTTTTCAAATACAGTAGACTTGCAATCATCCAACCCAATCAGCCATGTCAAAGGTTTTACTTTCCTGATAGTTTCCAGTATGTTCTAATATAATATTATAATTGCGTAATTGTGTCACAATTACGCAATTATAATATTTTTTGGACTTTTTTTTGGAATTTCAATGTTTTGTTTTGAGACCTCTGAATGCAAAAAGTAAAACTGATACTTTGGGTGTGTGTGATGTTGGTGTTTCTTTCATTTAATACTCAAAACAGTTTAAAGATTAAGAAACAAAATTTGTCATGGAAACTTGTAAAAAGGGGAATTGATGCTACTTAAATTCTGGTTGCTAAAAGCTGGGGTGGGGAGAAAGAGGAGGTCATGTGTATCTTAAGTGGAGTGAGACTTGATGAAAATTTTACTCATTATTGGTATTTACAATAATTTTAGAAACTCATTTCTATTCTCAAATTAAGTCTTTCTTATCTTTTTATAATAAGTAATAATATGAAAGTTATTTTTTAATAAAATCTACTTACAGATGGCACCACACTCAATTTTAACCGCATGTCTTAGTGTTCTTACACATAGATAAACTTTGCTGGAAAAGTTATTCAATTTGTTGGTGAATTTTTTTATATTAAAATACAGTATTTAACACAGTATTATTAATAGTATTGTGTAAAAATATGATCACAAATGTTATCATAAAACATATTGTTATTCTGCAGATGGTGTCTGGTGATTGCAAGTGTCTTACCAGCTTACTTTTGTTGAAATTTTGTATTTAAACCTTATCACATGTAAAAATTACAGCTGAAAAATAAACAAAATATAGGATGCATTGACATGCTTGACTGAAGATATGGCATTTATTTCCTTTACAATCTGTGTTGTTCAGCTTTTTCCTTATCCAGTTGGCTGTCTACCAAATTAAATAAATCACGAGTATGGAGTGTTGGGTCATTGCAATTCTGTTTTTTGCTTTCACAATTTCATTATTTCTTCTTTTTTCTAGTTAAGAAATGACGCTTACTGCTATATTAGCTTTTTTACGGAGAATGATGATTTTTCATATTATACATTCATAGCAGCACATTACTTTCTAAAATATTATGTATAAAATTAATATATAAGGTTTTTTTTATTAAATATACATTAATTTATTTTATTCAAAATATTTTGAAAGCCAAATCATAAACTAAAATTGTAGATTTTAAGCTAATCTTATGATATGCTCTATATAAATTAATTTTCATAAATGTAAATTGATAAATTATACAAATTTACAAAATTGTCAATAGGGGTTTATAAACCCATCTATTTTTATTGATATTATATTTATTTTATTGTATAAATTTCTTCCTTTTTGCTTATGGGTTATTAGAAAAGGACTCTAAATAGCAATGAAAGAAGTGAATTTTTCAGATTCTCTTGAATCCTAACTTCTCAAGCTCTTGTTATATAAATCCCATGGTATTTTTGAAATTAGGATATTTTTTGTTTCATAAAAACAATTTTACTATTAAATTTTATTAGAGTGGAGTCTTTTCTGCATTTATTAAAATTATAATACTGTAAAGGTCTCGTTTTATGCGGTGGATACGTTCTACAGAAAAGCGCATATAAAAAATTCGCATAAAAAAAGACTTTACTTGCCTTGAAAAAGTAGGGATACATTCCGTAATTTTCTAAAATCGCATAAAACCAAAACAATGAGTTAAAATTAACTTAAAACTGCATAAAAAAAGTTTGCCGAAATTAAAAGAAATAGGCTGCTTAATAAATTACTTCGAATGTCTGAAAGAAATTCATATAAAATTTAATTTCAAAACAATTACAGTTTATACCTTTCAATGCGAAACTCAGAATGATGTAATAGCGACTTGTCGATAGTATCATGTACAAGGGGAATCCCCGAATTGCAAAAGCTCACTCTAAAAACAAATCACTGACATCTGGATGTGAAGAGTTAATTAAAACCCCTTTAGTTCCTCGCCCGAGTTAACTCGGGCAGGTTACATAGCGTTACATAAAACACGGTCCTTAAGGCCATTTTTGAAATTTTTTTTTGAATTTTTGGAATGTTTTTTAAGTCTCCAAATTTTTTAAAAATATTTAAAAATATACGGCCAGCTAGTGTTCACCCTACTTTAAACCCTTGTCCTCCCGCGACGTCTATGAGAATGCCCCGGGAAATCCAACTCCAGCTGTGTTCAAGGTCATCCAGATGTGTAAACAATGACTCATCGGTGTTAAATTTCACAGAAGGGCGAGACAAAGGAAGTTAAACTTTGAAGCTTTTTCTTCAAAATTAACGCATTTCTTTCTTTTTTTTCAGTTTTAAGTATTTTTTATGTTTAATTACATTTATATCAAAAATTGCTAGGAACTAAAGCGATTAAGGTACATCTAGCCGTCCTTTACATCCATAAACGTTATATGTCAGCGGAACAAATGGAGTGAGCTTTGAGCGTTCCACGATTTTTGGAGACTGTCTGTATGCGGGCTTCCTAAACAAGCCTATATGTATGTTTGTCCAAAAAATTTTTGGACGAAATACAAACCGCACAACTTCAAAATCGCATAAAAATAATCCGCATAAAAAGAGACCTTAAGTATTTACAAATATAGGCATTTGTCTTTATTTTAATCATCCAAGTATGGATTAAAAATTGCTACATTAAGGCAGCTCTAAACATTCAGTATTTGGCAAAAGGCAATTATTCAGTAATCAGCAAAGTATCTGCTGAAGTGTTTGTCATGTGGTCAGCATATATATATAATATATACATATAAGTGAGCATTAGTTATCAAATGTTTTGATTTGACACAATATACTGACAAAGCAGTGAATACTGAATATTTGTTGAGTGAAGTCACAAGTAAATCATTCACTCTATTTGGTATTTAAAAATACACCAAACCATTTTATTTGTGAATATGAAATTTACAAATGTTTCTTGCTAAATAGAAACTGATAAATTCTAAGACAAGAAAAATTGTTAGATTATTTTAGATTTAAGAAGTAATTTGCAGTTTACTACTATTAAAAGTTAAAATATTGCAGTTATCATTTATTTATTGGGTTGTTCGAAAAGTAAGTTCATTTTTTTTACCATTAGACGGATTAGTGGTATTATTCCTGCTATTTTCGTTCTAAACCGTATTATCATTATATATTTTGACAGCTAGCATTTTATGGCTTATTTGTAAAAAATTTTGTTTGATTTCGTGCAATTGTTTATTTTTTTGTGTCCCATCAAATATGGAAGATCGAAAGCAGCATCTTCGGCATATTTTGCTTTTTTATTACCAAAAAAAACAAAAATGCCATTCAAGCAAGAAGAAAATCGTGTGACATGTATGGTGGAGATGTGTTGACAGAATGACAGTGCCAAAACTGGTTTACAAAATTTTGTTCTCGCAATTTCAGTATTGAAGATGCACCACGTTATGGATGGCCAATTGAAGCCAATGAAAACAAAATAAAAGTGCCAACTGAAGCAAACTGCGGAATAACAACACATGAAATCACTAAGAGATTAAATTTGTCAAATTGAACTGTTTATGAGTACTTGAAACAAATTGGTTTCGTTTCAAAGCTCGATATATGAATTCCATGAGTTCTTAAAGAGAAATGCTCTATTTGGTGGGATATTAAAGAAATTTTTTTTGGAGCTTTTACCAGACAATTTAACAATTGATTCGAAAGTGTACTGCATTCGAGTAAACAAATTGCATAATATCATCAAACAGAAAAAGCCAGCCAGATTGATTAAAAAAACAGCTGTAGTGTTTTACCACAATAATGTCAAATTTCACACAAGTTTGGTAACTCGTCAGAAACTGTTAAAACTTAGATGGGACGTGCTATCACACCAACCTTATTTGCCAGATTGAGCCCACTCAGATTATTACTTGTTCCAGTCTGTACAATTTTTTTTAACTGTAAGACATTTACTTGAAATGATAATGTCAAAAATCACTTTTTTGTAAGCAACGATCAAAACTTTTATGAATGTGAAATTGTGCTATTACCAGAAACGATGACAACAGGTATTTGACCAAAATGGGCAACATATAATTCAATAAAATATTTATTTATCATAAGAATATTGCGTTTTTTTCCACGGAAAAAAACAAACTTACTTTCCGAACAACCCAATATAATGTGCTTTCCTTATTTATTATTTCACCTATATTGTCTACTAATGTATTTTTCTAATGCAAATCATAAATTATCTATTTGTGTTATGACCAAATATAACATAAATAGTTGAAGAAGCTTTTTACATACATACATACTAGTGATGTGCCGGATATCCGTATCCGTATTTGTATCCGCGGATATCCGAGAAAAAAAAGAATCCGTATCCGTTAC